GCGGATGGACACATATATATATCAAAATATATAGATATAAATATATATATATATATATACATATATACAAATTTGAACAAATTGTGTTTTTGGCCTCTGGGGACATCAAAATGAAAAAGTAAATCGGTCCCGGGCCTTGGTCTTACAGTAGACCCCCTCTTAACCGACCCTAATGGGACCGGACCTAGGTCGGATAACTCAAAAGGTCGGATAAAACGGACAATCCCTAAAATCATAACATAATGAAGTGCTATTCATGTGGAAATATATAATCATAATACTAGTAAGATTATTTTGAAGTCATAGGAATAAAGTCATTATTTATAAAATAAACTACTCTTATCTCCTTTTTCATATTGATAGAAAAGTAACAAATAAACACAAAACACGGTTAAGTCAAATAGGCCTACGGCCTACTTTCAGTGGAATATATTATAATACTAGGCAAGAGTCAATAAAATTCCTATTTTAATAACTTTAGTACTGTAATGTATTAATTGATGCTTTCAAATACATCGTAATACAGTACAGAACCTTTTGTCGACATTAAAGATACAAGCGACCATTTTGTTACAAAACAGGACGTTTATTTATAGCCTCTCACTGGAGGCTCGAGGCACAAAAACTATCTTGACCTTGGAGTTGTTAACCCCCCTTCCCTGCCTTACCTACAAGTTGCGTTGTTTGTTTACTCCGGCGATAAGATAATCAGTTCTCAAAATCGTTACGCACTTTATCTATATAAATAAAATTAGAGTTTTGTTTGTACATTGCTCAGAATCATAAATTTTTAGGTTATTTTTACGTTTTATACATTAAAGAAACCGAAACAAGTCTCATCAAAATTTCTGTCTGTCTGTCTGTCTTTCTGTAACACTCAAGATGGCATTTTACGCAATCTTCTCCAGAAAAACGAGAGTACCTATCAAGATTCAAGTCATTTTAATGTATTCACTGGATTGGCGAGAGTGTCTTTAGCCATTAAAATATGACCTCACTAATTTGTAAATTAAATTACGGACGTTCAAAAATGCAGTTTTGTGAGATTTTTGTCAAGTTTTCGTCCAATTTTTATCACATAATCATCTATGAAATAACGAACAGCTGTTCGGATCAAGATTATTTTTTTCTAGCTGTCACTGATATGTTTACAAATGTTGTTTACAAATACTGCAACCATTTCCGATCACGCTTTGAAGGCAAATCCCATCCAAGCGAGATTAAAAACGTGTTTCTTACATAAAGGATTGAATTAATCCAATTAATTAAGTGGAAAAATATAGTGTAACCGTAAATTAAATTAAATAACTAAGCATCATCCAGGTCAGGAACCAGAGATTCTTTGTGTATAAAATTGGTCTCGAGTTTTGATAACCAGAAAGAAGACCTTGAATTAGTGTTGTATACGGCTGGGAAACTTAAATTTATTAATGATGCCAATAGCTTAGAAACAAGGTTCCACTCATTGACGGCGCACATTCAATGGCGGTTGTGTAAAGTGTAAAGTAAAAAATCACAACTGCAGTGGGTGATTGTAACAGAGATTTACGGATGATGCTAAACTCGATTTTCCAACGTGTCACTTTCTGTTCCTACCATTGACTATATATATAGTCAATAGATCCTACTCACCGTGTGATGCAATCGCTAAGCCATACAGCCAATAGGCCCATAGCCCATCTCTTGGGTACGTACGCCTACCCAATTATAACAACCTTTTCGACGACGATCCTTGATACCGGTACTTTTCCCTAGAATACACTGCCTACCTACTTAAGAAATAAAATTACAAACGTCCAAAAACCCAATGTTGTGTGATTTTTGTCACATTTCCTTCTAATGTTAATAGATATACCAATCATTGTTTAGGGAATACATAATCTATTAAATAACAGAAAGTTGTTGTATAAGGTTGTTTTTTTTTCAAACTGACACCGATAAGCTTACATTAAAAGTTGTTTACAAATAAAGCAATTAATGGGAAATAACCTTGACTGCCGATAACTTTTTATACGAGAAAATTCAAAACCAAGAGATCAATATCCTTAACTTAACGCATATAATTGGTCGGATGTACTATAGTTTTTAACTGTAAACGTTGGTTTTTGGTACTGGTTCTTTTCCTTTGAACCGTTGGTAGCAGCAAGAATCATTTTTACGTACCAACACATCACTGCAATTTACAAATTAGTTATCGTTGGTGTTGAGCCTTATTTATTACAGGCGTATTCAATTTAATTGATGTCTTAACTGTACAAGTTTTGCTTTTTCTGTCTGGATTCCAAAATGTTAGTTTATGCTAAGAAAACGATAACGCATTTTAGTAAAACATTTATTCAGCAAACCATCATGAATTGTTGAAACGCTTTACGTTGTTTATTTATGTATCAAATAGTTTGTGGCCTATTTTGGTAATTTTAATTATAAATTAGCAATCCAAATCGTCTATAGTAATTCATTTCATACAGTAATCCGTCATTTCGACAGCATTTCAGGTCATCTTCAGTCCAAGCAAATATAAATTGTTATGATAAAATTTGATGACATCAACAAAGATTTCAAATACTAATTTTATATGTACTTTGTTATGCTTAAAGCGTAGCTAATTCCCTAATTAAGTTCTGTATTTTCGTGTGTATGTCTGTTGGTAATGCATTAATGTCCTTATTTCTAGGTGTTTCACGGAAAGGACAAGAGCACCTTGATAATGAAAATGTCAACCAATAAAGTGTTAAATTGTGAGGTTGAGGTAGTACCTTAAATACTTTTAACCATTGTGGAAAGTAACTTTCAATTATAGGCCTACCTCAGGGCTATGCCTCATAGATCTATAAAGCATTTTTTAGTTTAACACGTTCGCTACCGAGCGACGCACATTTGCGTCGGTCCGGTCACTCCTACAGACTAAAAGGAATGATCATGACGTTCCTTACAGACCAAGTGATATAGGAATAACATTGCCGACAAACCAAAAGAGAAAAACAATGTAAACAACAATGTTGCCAACTGTTGTGTGACGTAACCAATCGTCATATCCACAGACCAAGCGACGCACATTTGCGGCAGATATCCCTCTAGACCGATACGATAAAATCCGAGCTTTAAAATAGACCGTTGCTAAGAAGTACGCTGTTTAATAACATTAGAACACCGACGCAAATGTGCGTCGTTAGTCTATTTCAATGTGACCAGCTGACGCAAATATGCGTCAGTGGTCTATTGTGAGAAACGAGTCGACGCACAATTGCGTCGCTGGTCTATGCGAACGTAAATTCCATATAATTGTGGTAGCGAACGTGTTAATAATTGGATATAACATATGGACCAACAAGATCCGGGTGACATTTAATTGCGAAGCATTAGTTTTGGCTTGAAACTGTCAGATACTGTATTTGCGAAGGTTTATATATAATAGTTTTGTCAGCATATCTGAAAGTATGCAAACCAACTGCTGTGCTTAATATAAGAAGGTTTTAACTGACTACGATAAGATCCCCGTGCGTAGAACGGGCACACAGCTAGTGATGTTATAAATTTGCCGCACAGATAACAAATCAGATCAGATGTGCTCGAGCTACGAACGATGATGGCAAACTGACAATAGGCTATGCTATATTTTTTGTGATCAACACAAAATAACTTATTGTTAGTCATATCCTGTGGAGATAAGCGTATGGTTCAGTTCTCATCGCCCAGCGTGGGACCGGAAATGCCGAGATTCCTAGAAAGCGGCGGTTAAACCAAGCTGCTCTCAAAGCAAGGTCGGTTAAAACAAACTGTATTATTTTACGATCAAAGGCGGATAATCCGATTATTGGTTAATACGAGGTCGGTTAAGAGGGGGTCTACTGTACCATGAGACCTACGGTTATTAGCTACTTCCCTATAGGGAAATTCGCTAAAAAATGTATGCAGCAATGAAACATTCTAACTAGCCAATTTCCAACTGTAAACCCTTCTTATCATATCAAATAATAATTAATAATCAATTAATAATAATTAATTAGTGAGTCGGTGGCTCAGTCCGTAGCGTCGCGGAATTCGGGCCCAAGGCAGCGATGTCGTGGTTTCGGATCCTGGTCACTGCCGAAAACATTTTATCAGTACAGATCACCTTTGTACTGTACCAGCTCACCCCTTGCTTTGCTGTATACGTTCCACGCACGGGCGCTTAGTCTATGTGGACGGGCAAATGCAACGTTAAAAGAGGCCGCCAACCTCTTAAAAAAAAAAAAAAAATGACTACCTTATTTAAGGTACTACATAGAAGTGTGCCAGCCTGATATTTTCAGTCCGGCGAAACTCAAAGTAATATCATGATAAGGGTCGTATTCTGAGATCACTGCAAAATCTGAAATATCTTTCTCAATTACTGAAACATCATCACTGTTTTACGGTCGTGGCAAGATCATTAACATCTTCCGCGGCCGTGTAGACATCATCATTGGTTTTATTAGCGATGGCGGCAAGATCATGAAAATCTCCCTCGGCCGTGTAGACATCATCATCATCATCATCATCTTCCACGATTGCAACAACATCATGAACATCACTCACGGTCGAGTAGATGTCATCATCATCTCCCGCGACCAGTCCCGCTCCAGTCCGGTCGCTGGCCGTGTAAACATCATCATGAACTTCCACGGTCACGGAAATGTCTTCGTTGTCGTCTGCGATCGCGGCAAAATCATGAACATCTCATGCGGCCATGTAGATGTCATCATTGTCTCCTGGGATCGCGGTCATCCTCGTCATTGTCATCGTTGTCATCCTCAGTCGCAATCGCAAAAATCATCTCCCACGGTTACGGAAATGCCTTCGTCATCTTGTGCGATCGTGGCATTATCGACGTTTCACCATCGGTTCTCGGTTCCGGTTCTTTTGCAAAGAACCGGCGGAACCGACATTTGATATGAAGTACAGACCCATCACTAATAAATATTAATGAGAAATATGAGCTATTACCATGATCAATAGTTAATGTGTATGATGTGTAACAGGTCAATGACTGGAGCTCATGCCAGTCGCTCTGCTCGTCCTTGCTCAGCAGAGACCCTGATAATGAGCCGGCACTGCTGATGTTGGCAGACCTGGCATATCGCAGAGTTGACTACCAGGACGCAGCTTCTCACTTCTCTGCACTGCTGGCTCGTCGACCGGACCACTGGGTGGCATTGGCCAGACTCATTGAGGTCACTAATACAAATAGTCGTGAATCTATAATTGAAAAGTGTATGAATTGAATACACATTTGTTGGAAATAAGCTATTGCAAATTGTTAAAACCCTTTTAAGTGAAAAAATACATTTGATTACATTTTAAGCATGTCTGTAGTTTTACAACCTTCACAAAATACAGGCTTCTTTTGTATGTAACCATATGTGTAGGAAGCAATTGTCTTTGTGCAGGTGAAGCGGCGCACGGCCCAACTGTCAGATGCAAAGCCTTTCCTAGAGGCAGCTGCAGAGACTGCTGCTGGGGAGCCTGGTCTGAGCTACTGCACAGGTCAGATATCTGCACATACCACCATTTACGTACTACATATTAATTACGCCTAACTTATTAAAAATGCTTACGATTAGGAAACATGGTGATATCAGTTAGGAAGGAGTTAAACTTATCCTAAAATAAAATAAATCATAAAATAAAAGCAATATTAATGTGTTGTGAGGTGTTTATGTCGGGTAGGGGCACCTATCCTAAACTTACCTCCGATTTGCTCGGACAGCTCGAGTAGTCCAGGGTCTCGCTAACAGTCTTCGTCGCTCGCTCACTGCTCCTCGGTCCTCGTGAATTTACTGTTGCGTCGATCTGCTAGTACACAAGTACACGCTGTGTACATCGGTAGGTTGATCACCGAACACGAATTACTATCAATGAATACACAAACTATAGTTACTACTATAGTTGGTGTCAGCACAGGGACGCACTGACAAAGGCCAAGTCGAAGCTAACTTCTAGGGGCCGATAGATAAATAGGCGAAGATTAGGAAATAAAATGGAGAGCCAGCTCCTAGGCTTAACGAAAGGAATCACTTCTCAAAATAAAACTAAAATAATCTTCTCGTAATTAAAAGAAAACGACGCTAACTCGCGATAAGTAAATAATAATATAAAATAAAACGTAGAAGGCTTATATGCCAATTCTTCTTGGCTTTAAGTAAATAAATAAAAACTCTTGATCTAAAATAAAACAAAACCGCTTTGGATGCCTAAAAGAAGGCGTAGGCTACTGCGACACTACACTCGCAGGGCCGGTCGATAAACTACGATATTCTATAATAAACTAGGATAAACGGCCTAGAATAGCCTAATAAATAACGTAATTTACCTCGCCAAAGTGGATACGAGGAGGATACAACGTATACGCTAGCTATATACAGTGTACTTAAGTAACACGATACTTCCAGATTCGCACCGAGGATTCGCATCGAGGTTTCGCATGCCTTCGTCCGGATACTTTATTAGGTTCACTCGCACAGCCTAAGGAGGGTTGGTGTGCGCGAACCTATCGCTCGCCGCCGACTCCACGGTCTTGAGGGAGGGTGTTTGTTTGGCGAACAAGCGCTCGCCATCGACTGTCTCAAGAAATGTCCACTGACTGTCCGCTGGTCTTGGCTTCTCCCCACCACGTCAGCACCCCGAGGTCACGGCGGCCAAGTCACAAACTAGGAGACTTGACCTGCAGTGGACATGTTTGACATTGTTGTCGAGCGCGCTCAAACCTTCGCGGCCTTAAAATAATTACAACTAACCCCCCCTAATAAAATTTGGCCATTACAGTGTATAAAATAGTTACGTGTTTTGGCTTTGTTTATAGTAGTAAAACATGCCTCACATTGCTTACACATCAAAGTATATAAAACAACTGGAATGCTAGGTACGTGTTCACGAAAGCGTGCCGTTGTGGCACCCTTCCCCCACCACCATGGGGGACCCAGCGGATTTTAGCCAATTCATCGAATAGTGCGCGAAGTTGTTAACTCGCTCCTAGCCTTCAATAACAAAGATTATGTACAATAATGTTTATATATTTGTAATCTGCATCAAATGCAGAATGTAATGGTATAAATAATTTTTACTTTTGATTTGAAATAGAATTTCCATAGTTAAAAAGAGTCAAAAATTTCTTCACTGTGACATGAAAAAATTAGTATGCGAGGAAGTATTTTATTTTTGGGCCAGAAGAAAACTTTAAGCGACAAAGTTGTAGTTGAAGAGTTGATTTTTAACATGTGATCGAGCAATTTACAATTAAGTTGCAGTTTGTTTGTAGTAGAGTGATTAATAGCGTGACGAGGTTGATTTTATGTCGCACCAACCTCCTCACTCCAGCAACTCTTTATGTTTTTGCTACTCGATCATTGTAAAGCTAAATAAATTTTAACCTTATTAATATTTGATATAAGTTAAAGAATTTAACTATTCTATGGATGTGATCATATATTTTATTTATTGGCAGAAGATAAATATTAATACTAGAGGTGTGCGGATAGTGAAATTTCATTTCGGATCGGATTCGGATCGGATAGTTGAGGCTCGGTTCGGATCGGATCGGATATTGGGAGGTTCGGATTCGGATGTTTTCGGATTCGGATAGTTCGGCGCGGTTAATAATAAGCTGCATATGTATTTTTAACTTATAAAACAATGTAAAGCTGTGTAAATAAACTTAAATGACGATTTTGAACTATAGAATTTCAAATTAGCCAAGTCCACAGTTTTCTCTCTCTTGAAAATCACAACTCACAACATTTATTTTCAAAAGTTGGTTGCTTGAATTAAGTACACTAGCAGCCGAAATCTTCACACAACACCTTAGCTCAGCGGGACTGATGTCAAACGTTTGGGCTTGTTTACTTGAGGTTATGTTTTATCTTGTTTCCTGGTTCTCACAAGCCAAGGAGTTCGATCTCAAGTTTATTTTCACATTGTATTTCCTTACGTTTTTGGAACGGATTATTGGCCTTAAGTGGCATTTTGCGGGTTTGCCAAGTTTAGAAAACATCACTAATGCACTAAGATGGGCTCTAGCTCACGATTTGATGTTGGGCAATTAGACATTATAACTGTGTAAAAGGTGTGTATCCCTGAATTTATAAATTGCATCCTACACTTATTCACTGCCAAACATAATTCAGTAGAACCTTGATGAACCGAGAATCACACTAGCCTACATAACTTCATTACCCCAAGTTAAATACCAAGATAATTTTTATAATTGTATTTGAATCGTATAATCTTAGTTTGTTAAAAATGGATTGTATGTTCAACAATAACTGCAGTCCATTATTGTTATGCAGTATGGTCCCAAATTATTGTTTTTGATTTTGAAACATCACAGTTCATTTGACAAAATTATAGTTGAAGCAGCCCAATGTCAAGTCACGCTTGTGCAATAGTTTGTTTACAAGCTTTCTCCAGACCACGGGGGAGGGGAGGGTCTGATAACGGCGCTGATAAGCTGTCTATTGTTCACCCCCAAGAAGGTCCGACCCTCATTAGTGCCGCTCGGCTGCACTCAGTGGGGAACCCAATACCACAAGTCAATCTTTTAAATGAATACAAATATTTGGTAATAATTGTTTTATTAATATTCACCTTGAAATTTCAATAAATTTGGTGTAAAATTTGACAAAAATAGGCCATTTTGACCGATTATTAATACAGTACCAAATACCAATAAAGTAGTACATTCATTTGGTAATTAAATAATAGGTAAAAATTAACCGATTTTCGTCAAGTTTTACCCCCTGCTGTGCGCTATATCACAAAAGCTGATAACGACATGGGTGATTAGTAACCATGGCAACTTGTTGAATGCTTGATGAAGGGAAACCCAAGAAATAGAAGAACAAAGAGAAAGAATAACGACGTTGTTATCTTTATACCCTTTTTACAATTTCCGTTATTGTTATCTTTATGTAAGATTTTATGATTTTGTTTTAAGGTTTATAAAATAATTCTTTTTAACCACGGGAATATCAATTTATAATTTATCAACGTTCTCTTCTGAAACAGCAATACCGGATGCATAATAAAGGCCAATGACCTAAAATATCACGATTGTGCAATATTGTATTTTGATGTTGAAATTAAAATCACAACAAAAGTTTGTATATATCCATGGTCCCTATCGTTTAATCATTTAATATGTACACAATCAATGCTAAATAATCGTGGTTAGTTCTAACTTTATCTTTTATTATTCAAAGTTTCTACACAGTAAGACAATCCAAAGTCAAACCAGGCAATGAATACCCAAAAAACAACGTATCTTGTCCTGTGATTGGAATACCACTCGCCGGCCAGTCCTTAGGTTTAGGGAAGTAGTGCAAGTCTATATATAGCTTCAAGGTCTTACCCACCCCTTCCCCCTCCGGTCCTACTTGACTCACTAACCGCGCTCCTTTCGAGGTCATTGCCCAACCCCTCCCATCCTTCTATTGTGTTGCATTTCTATTGTTTCTATTCTGACTTTTTTTCGAGAAACATTAAATCTATTGTTTACGTAACATCACAGTAGTAGGCTAGATTTTTCTACTTTGAAACAGTACTGTAAAAAAACTATTACACAGCGCCCCTAGTATCAGGAGCGAGACAAGCACGAGTTGACTTTCATTTGACAATGGTAGTTCTTTTCTGCTTCATGTCTGTTCGTTCCAGACGAATCTAATCGTAAAGCAAAACAGCTGATAACGACTAAACTAGTTATCGATATTGCATCATACGGCTTCTTTGCCGTTTGCTGTTCGGTCGTTGGAAACGTATTGCTGTAATTTTGTCCTGGGAAACTAATGGTGGTTATGGAGATTTAGTTTTCTGTCCAAAACGTCAAAATATATTGTCTATCCGAAAAAGTCGGATATATAATGGATAGTGTCGGATATCGAATTTTGGCTCGGTCCGGATACGGATATCCGCACACCTCTAATTAATACCGGTAATGGGCTGCCGCTGAGTTGATGAAACCCTATGAAACCGACTTTTCCGCTCCGTTGAATGAAATACTCAAAGTAATACAATTTACAATTGTGTACTAATTCCTATATTTTATAATAATAATAATGTTTTAATAATAGATGCATTTTATCAGCATGCATGAAACTGCAAGGACATTTCTGACGAAAGTCACGCTTTGAAACTAATGAAACTGATAGGGACACTATTTTATAAAACAGTTTGTTTCTCCAATGCGAGAAACATTATGAATGAATGTAACAAAAATAAGTTTGGTGTAAGACAGAGATTTAAGAAATTGGTTTTGTTTCACAACATGTATTTAAGCACGATTGTGGATATTAATACATATTCTTAGAAGTTCAGTTTAGAATTATTAACCAACCCCTTTTCTCTTATGTGTGATGATATGAATTTTAAAACACATACAGAACAATAATAACACTCAAAACATTTTTTTACTAATCGTGTCTTTGCAATATTATACACGAGCCCAACAATTCGATTTGTAAATTTACTATTCAATTGTTGTTATTGCCTTTACG